TTTCTACCCGCCGATTCAGGCGGGTAGTGTAGACCTAGCCTAAGTTGCTTTCAGTTTAAGTCTGCGGCTTTGGGGCATCTGGTTCAGACCCTGGGTCTGTGTTGGAGCAGACTGGCGTGTCTGGCTCAACAAGACACGGTGCTGGAGTCCCAGGCGGGCAGAGGGAAAGCAGGGGCAGAAGTGGTCTTGGCACATCAGTGGGCAGTTCCCAAGGATTCTGTGATCAAACCGGTCACACGTGGCACTTTGCCAGAGTTTTGCAGAGACCTCTGCTTATTTTGGCTGCACTATATTTGGCCGGTAGATGAGAGACAAGGTGTGATGGACACAGGAAGAGATGAGACATCGTCGGTTTCCTGTAGCTGAAGTGACCGGCTGAGTTTCTTATTTGGGGCTTGGTGGAGCTCAGCACTGGGGTGTTGGTGGCAGCGCTGAGGGGCCCCTTGCTGCCCCATCATGGCGTCTGCTCTCACCGTCCTCTTCCTTGGTGAGTATCGGAGACAGCCAGGGCATGTGCCCATGGGGGGGTGGAGATCTGAGACCAGGATGTTCTCTGGGAACTGGACCCTAACGAGCCGTCTCCTTTCCAGGCTGCTGGCTGGCTGCCGGGTGGAGCAGGGTGTCTGGAAGTTTGTATCTGTGGGCCTGGGGAAACTTTAATGTTAAGGATGGGAGAGGGGGGTGGGGACAAAAGGAGCTGACCCCAGAAATTTCCCCTCAAAACTCAGTTCAACCTCCTAGTATTGACCATGGGGGACTGAGATCAGAACCCAGCCCTGTCCCCATAGCGTTCAGGGGTGACTCCAGATTGACCCCGGGGGGCTGAGGTCAGAACCCAGCCCACAGGTTTCCTGTGGAGTCCTACTCCTGGGGGAATTCTACACAAAATATCTGAAAATTCAGCAAAATTCTGCATATTTTATTTGTCAAAATAACCCAATATAATCCTGCCAGTTTCAATTATTTTGGTCATTTATTTCAAAATATCTGTCAGCGAGTATGTCTGTAACTATACAGACCCCAGCCCCCAAAAAAAGATTCTGGTAATTTTTTTTTGACAAATAGTTTCCTCTCTAGGCATATTAACATAGAACCTTGAGAAATTCATTTAAATCACACGACAGAACTGTAAAAAGCAACAAAGAGTCCTGTGGCACCGTATAGACTAACAGATGCATTGGAACATAAGCTTTCGTGGGTGAAAACCCACTTCGTCAGACGCATGGGGGTATTCACCCACGCATGACAGAACTGTATTTCCTGCACCCGACTGAAGTAGTGGAAAGGCTTGGGGGAGTCAGGGGTAACAGAGAAGGTGAGGGAGAGGGAAGGAGCCTGGGAGTGAACCTGGAAGGTGGTGGGTGTGGGCGGGAGAAGGTTTTTTTTAGGCAGGGGGATTGTTAGGGAGCTGGGAAGCCTCCTCCATGCAGACCCTGGCTGACCTGAAGCCTCTCCCATTCAGTCAGGCACATCAGCCCCTGTCCCACAACCTCCATCCCCATGTGTCCCTGCAGCCCCCCTGCCCCCTCCCCAGACTCAACGCTGTCACCCCACTAGCTCCTGAGCCCCAGTCTGTGACCCCCCCCAGCAGCCCTGGGTGCCCCACTCTGCCCTAACCTGGCTCTGCGGCAGGTGCTGTGATGAACTTCTGCTCCTGGGGGAATTCTGCAGCACGGGGCAGGCAGAGAATGTTTTTCCCCACAGAAAATACATTCTGCCCCAGAAGTGCTGCGGTTCCGCCTTTTGCCCACCAGGGGCCACTGTGGCCCCAGAACAGCCGGCTCCGTTCATGCTGTTGGCTGCTCTGGCACCACAGCGGCCTCCAGTGGGCAAAGGGTGGAACTGCAGCACTTCTTGGGCAGAATATATTTTATGCAGGAAAAAACAAAATTCTGTGGGGAAAAATGAATTCTGCACATCCTAGAGTTGCCAACCCTCCACGGTTGGCCTGGAATTTCCAGGAATTAAAGATGAATCTTTAATGAAAAATTATGTGATGTGATGAAATCTCCAGGAATACAGCCAACCAAAATTGGCAACCCTAGCGCGTCCACAGATGTGCAGAATTGCCCCAGGAGTAACAGACTGTGGATGCAGTGAGGTGTCTGTTAGCCCTAGCGCTGTCCCTGGGGCTGGGCACTAAGGGCAGGTTACAGACACACGGGGAGGGGTTTATGTCTCCCCATCTCAGTCCTGTTTGTGTGTGAACGTAGAGCTCCCTGTGCCTGGACCCTCCATCTCCGTCAGCCCCAGCAGTGTGATCGCCCCGGGGGGAGCCGTCACCATCCGCTGTCAGTGTCGGTGCGAGGCCAGGAGGCTATTGCTGTATAAAGGTGGAATCCGAATCCGGGAGCTGGATGCTGATGGGGATGGGGGTGAATTCACCATCCCCAGCGCCAGACGGGAAGACTCAGGGAGCTACAGCTGCCAATCTCACTCTGGATCAGATCCACCCAACTGGTCGGATCCCAGTGATTCCATGCGGATTGTTGTAGCAGGTGAGAGGTCCGGCTTGGCATCCCCACTCCCAGCCCTACAGCCTGCCAGACCCACAGAGGGTCTCTGGACAATGGAGCCTTCAGAGCCAGGCTCTACCCTGAACCCTGGGCTCAGCAGAGGGGATGCCTGGCCAGGGAGCGAGGACGGAGTCACTGTGGGGTTCCCCAGCTACTGGAGCTAGGGGGATGAGGGAGGGGGGATCCCTGCCCCCAGGCAACCTTGGGGTATCACTGAACCTGCCTGTGCTTCCATTTCCCCTTGGAAGAATGGGGGATAATTATCCTTCTTCACCTTTTGTCTGTGTGCAGCACTCAGCACCTCTGACTCCCAGCCCTCTCCCAATCTAGCCACTAGACCCCACTGGGGCTGGGGTAGAACTCAGGCATTCCAGCTCCCAGGTTGCGGTGCCCCATTAATTAGATAGACGGGTACAGAGGGGTGCTCTGGATTTAGGTCCTCGGGCAGTTTCGGGTGTAGCTCCCAGGAATCTCTGGGATCTCGGAGAGGTTCCTCTGGCTGGGTTTTCTCCCAGGGGCCCCGTCTCTGTACGGCGAGGATGGGGCGCGGTGACTGTGCCGGGGTCTGTCTCACAGCCTGTCTCCTTCTCACTGCAGAGCTCAGCTACCCCAAACCCTCCATCTCCCTGCGCCCCAGCGAGGGGGTCACCCTGGGGGGAGCCGTGACCATCCGGTGTCGGGGTCGGCACCAGAACGTGAGGTTCCTTCTGTACAAAGATGGAAACCCGAATCTGCTGCAGGACGTGGAGCCGGCTGGGGACATGGCTGAGTTTCCCATTCGCAACGTGAGCCGGAGACGTGGAGGGAACTACCGCTGCTCTTATCGCTCCAAATCAGACCGGCCTGTCCAGTCTGAGCCCAGCGACCCCGTGGAGCTGGTGGTAGCAGGTGAGGAGCCCGGCTCAGCAGCCCCGCTCCCAGCCCCGCACCCAGGCAGCCTCTGTGGGGATCTCTGTGCTGATGGGACGCTCAGAGCCAGGCTCTGCCCTGAGCCCTGGGGCCCACTGGGGGGGGGGGGGGTTCACTATCGGGGGAAGCAGCAGCTGCTGGCGGTTTGGGACTGAGGGAGGGGGGATCCCTGCCCCGAGGGGGAGCTGCAGAGCAGGGGGGCTTTTGCCAGGGGTTGCTCCCCCAGCTGCCCCTGCTCTGGGGATGCACAGAGGAGTCGGGGCCCAGGGGCTGCCCACCCGGCGGGGGCTGCAGCGCTGAATCCCCCCCCCCCCCAGCCCGGACAATTAAAGCCGTAAGAAACACCGTGTTGTGGGCCGGCCAGTGTCACCATTTCAGCCTCTTCCCACCCGGGCCTGGGTGCTCGGTTCCATCCATCTCCCTTCTCAGCCGATGCTCGTTTTAATCCCACAGCGGGAACCGACCCAGCTGGGTCCCCGCAGCTGTATCAGCCCCCGACGGAGCTGGGGGGAGAAGGTGAGTGGGAGAAATGGAACAATTCATCCCTCAGAGAACAGGGCTCCCGGCTCAGATGCTGTAATGATGCTGGCTTTGGTGGGACACTTCTGAGAGTGTCAATTCATGACAGATTGCTTAGCGCAGGGCAGTTACAGCCCCAAAATGGAGTCCCTTTACTTTTAAGGCAAACCAAACCAGCCAAACAGAGAGGACTTTGGTTTCACCCCACTGGCTAACCATAAGTCACACAAGCAATTCCCTCAGACACTCCAGTTCCCCACTATCATCACCAGTGCCACGCGTTATGGGGGTGAATTGTTATAAAAACCAATACCCCAGTAAAAGAAGAAAGGTTCTCCCGATCCCAAAGGACCAAGCCCCAGCCCCAGGTCAATGTACAAATCAGATCTTACCCACAAATCACGCTGTTGCCAATCCTTTAGGATCTAAAATCTAAAGGCTTATTCATATGTAACCCTTCTGCCCGTCAGAGTTGACAGCAACAAGGGCCGGGTTCAGTATCTAGGGGTTCCTTTTCAATAACACAATGTAAAACCGGCTCGAGCCCCCACCCAGGGACCTGGGACAATTACATACCACCGGTGATGGGTTGGATCACAGAAACCCCCTTGGGTACTGCCACCTGATGTGCTGAGACTACCTCTGAGTCTGTTTTCCCTGCCAGCTTGGGACTTCAGGGCCTTGAGCCAGACACGCCTGCCTGCTACAAACACAGACCCAGGTCTGAACCACGTCCCTCAAAAGCTGCAGGCTTAACTGAAAACAGCTTAATAAGACCCTCAGGCTCTGATTGTCCCCATCCCCTGGCCAAGTACTGGGGTGCTGGGTGTCTTGGGGGCAGTTCATCCACCTGGGAGCTCCCTTCACCGGAGAAGCTGAGGCTCAGCCCCAGGGACAGCAGGACACGGCCTTCCCTGAGGGGTCCAGCCTCAGGGAGGCTCCAGAGATGCCGCACCTGGGAGAGCCCCAGAGGGGGGCTGCACTGGACCTGCTGGATGGGGGGGGGGTTGGGGGCTCCACTCCCGGGGCAGTTGCTGATCTCCCCATCCGAGCCACCAAGTGACTCTTCCCTTCCCCCCACAGCAGCCCCCTCGGGGCACCTGGATTTCACCCACGCCAACATCACCCACCTGGCGGTGGGCGCCGTGGTCCTGCTCATCCTGGGGCTTATCCTGGCTGAGGCCTATTACAGCCGCCCGAGGGAGGTGCCCTAGGTGAGGTGACCCCCCCCCCTTCTGTGCCCCTGCTCCCCCCAGGGCGACAGAGGCCCCTCTAACCCACCATCTCTTTGAACCCCCAGGAGCCTGGATTCAGCCATGCGGAGAAGAGAATCTCCCCAGGGGCGAGCCGCTTCCCCTTCCCCTTGGGGGGCTGAGATGCCGGCACATCCCCCCCTGTCCCCAAACACCCCTGCCTCTCCCCCAAATAGCTCCCGACCTGACAGCGGCACCCCAGGATTGAAGCCCTGATGCTGCCAGCACCAGCCCCTGTGGTACCAGCTAGAGGAGCCGCCCCTTGGCTGGGCATATCGGGCTCCCCACCGAGCAGCCCCTGGAGGGCGCCGGGGTCCCACTTGCTGGCCCAGCCGGGCCAGTCTCTACTCAGGGCTGTCAGTGGGGAGCGGGACCATAGCAGGGCTCAGCATGGGGAGGGCACCACCTGCATCTGCGGGGGGCCCAGAGCACTGGGGGGCCGGGCACTCAATAACTAGCCCCTCCCTGGTGCTTCAGAGGGGATGAACACAACAGGGAATCAGCGAGCGATCCATCCCTATCGTCCACTCCAATTTCTGTTGAACAGAGGCTAGAGACACTCAGAGTATGGTGTTGGATCCCTGCCCATCCTGGCTAATAGCCATTGATGGACCTATCCTCCAGGAACGTATCTAGTTCTTTTTTGAACTTTGTTATGATTTTGGCCTTCACAACATCCCTGGCAAAAAGTTCCATGGGTGACTGTGCGTTGTGTGAAGAAATACTTTCCTTTGTTTGGTTTAAACTTGCTGCCTATTAATTTCATTGGGTGACCCCTGGTTCTTGCATTAAGTGAAGGGGTAAATAACACTTCCTCATTCATTTTTTTCCCACACCAATCAAGTTTTTATAAGCCTCTATCATATCCCCTCTCAGTCGTATCTTTTCCAAGCTGAAAAGTCCCAGTCTTTTTAATCTCTCCTCCTATGGACTCTGTTCCATACCCCTAATCATTTTTGTTGCCCTTTTCTGTACCTTTTCCAATTCCAATCTATCTTTTTGGAGACGGGGTGACCAGAACTGCATGCAGTTTTTTTTTGCCAGACTGATCAGCTAAGCCAATACTGGCAACATATATGAAAAGGCTGCAAACCACCGTACCTCCGGACTGCATCAAAATGCAGAAAGCCTTATAAATCAGTAAGGGTCAAAGCCAATTTTAGAAGAACTTAATGAGGCTGTTAAGAATGCTGGAGACACAACTCAGTTTATGCGAACTAACATGGCTGTCACATCATACTTTCTATTTAAGCAAGAGATACCACACACTACAAACTGGAGGCCAATGTTAAGTGCATTGTCACTTGTTCATCCTGAAGTTGGACATTGGTTTCGAACAAGACTGGCAAATGCTCGCTATCTTTCTGCAAGAAACTCAACTGACTCTCTAGAAGCAGGCAGTGCAACAGTGAAAGACTCAGCAGTTGAAAAAGTGAAGAACTCTCCCACCATATTCAAAATATGGGCATACATGGCTGATGAATGCACCGATGCAAATGGGCATCAAGTATTAAGACATTGTGTACGTTATCTTGATGTCTGTGGTAGGCCAGTAGATGCATTCTAGATGTTCAGGTTTAGAAGACACATTGGCTGCATCTGTGACATCTTAGAAGAGTTAAATGCTTGTCAAATGGCTGCTTGTGCATCTGATGGAGCTGCAAACTTCTCTAGAAAACATAGTGGAGTCAAAGTTTTGGTCAGAGACAACTGTAACCCTAATCTCAGCTGAAAAGCACGGGGGGCTTGGGACTGGAGAGAGAGAGCAGGCAGAGCCCACCTGAATGCAGGAGAGACTTAGGCCTGGTCTACACTAGGCTTTTATGTCGAATTTGGCGCCGTTACATCGAATTAACCCTGCACCCGTCCACACCACGAAGCTATTTAGTTCGAAATAAAGGGCTCTTAAAATCGATTTCTGTACTCCTCCCCAACGAGAGGAGTAGCGCTAAATTCAAAATGGCCATATCGAATTAGGCTAGGTGTGGATGGAAATCGACGCTAATAGCTCCGGGAGCTATCCCACAGTGCACCACTCTGTTGACGCTCTGGACAGCGGTCAGAGCTCGGATGCTCTGACCAGCCACACAGGAAAAGCCCCGGGAAAATTTGAATTCCCTTTCCTGTCTGGGCAGTTTGAATCTCATTTCCTGTTTGGACATCGTGGCGAGCTCAGCAGCACTGGCAACGATGCAGAGCTCTCCAGCAGAGATGGCCGTGCAATCGCAGACTAGAAAGAGGGCCCCAGCATGGACTGATCGGGAAGTCTTGGATCTCATCGCTGTGTGGGGCGATGAGTCCGTGCTTTCAGAGCTGCGCTCCAAAAGAAGGAATGCAAAGATCTACGAGAAGATCTCTAAAGCCATGGCAGAGAGAGGATACAGCCGGGATGCAACGCAGTGCCGCGTGAAAATCAAGGAGCTGAGACAAGGCTACCAAAAAACCAAAGAGGCAAACGGATGCTCCGGATCCCAGCCCCACACATCCCGTTTCTACCAGGCACTGCATTCCATTCTAGGTGCGGCCGCCACCACTACCCCACCCGTGACCGTGGACTCTGAGGATGGGATATTGTCCGCGGCCGGTTCCTCGTCGGACATGTTAGCGGACGGGGAAGATGAGGAAGGAGATGAGGAGGACGAGGCAGTCGACAGCGCTTGTACCGCTGATTTCCCCGACAGCCAAGAGCTCTTCATCACCCTTACCGAGATCCCCTACCAACCGTCCCCAGCCGTTACCCCGGACACAGAATCAGGGGAAGGATCAAGCAGTAAGTGCTTTAAACATCTAAACTTTTATTTTTAACAGAACTGGAATATTTAAAATATTAACAATGGGTTTTTCTTGAAGTGATTTAAACATCTAAACTTTTATTTTTAACAGAACTGGAATATTTATAATATTAACAATGGGTTTTTCATGATTTCTTTGCCTTAGGCGATAAAATTTTTAGTCCCAACTATTTAAAAAAAAATCTAACAAAGTCCGGTTTTTCATGATTCTGCTGCCCAAGACGCTTCACTCTTTAGTCCCTGCCAGTGCAGCTACACCAAAATCCGGTCTATATGTCCGGGGATAGAGACGAAATCCTCATGGGAGATCTCAACATAGGTCTCCTGGAGGTAATGTTCAAGCCTGGTCATCAGGTTCCTGGGGAGAGCGATTTTATTGGGTCCTCCATGGTACGAGACGTTTCCTCGCCAGGAGACAATCAAATACTCAGGGATCATTGCACGGCAAAGCATGGCGGCATACGGCCCTGGTTTTTGCATGCTTTCCCTAAGCATGCGTTCCTTCTTGCTGTCCGAGATCCTCATCAGGGTGATGTCGCTCATGATGCCCTGCTTTGAATTAGGGAGGGGAATGTTAGTATTGGGACTGCTTTACAGCCACGCGGTGGAGGCGGGAGAGGGGCAGCATACAGGGATATTTCCCTGGGACAGCCGCGAGGGGGTGGCACAGGGGCAGAGTTCATGCTTGCCGGATTGCTGGCAGCAGAGACTGGCTTTGCTTTCAATGTGAAAGGAGGCCAGTGCTACTATTAAAGTTTTAAGCAGCCACAAGTCTACGGCTTACCATGTTTGCCTGCTACACAAGTTGAGGTGTCCTGCCCCGCTTCTCAGATCGCCACTGCAAGACCCCAGGCACTGAAGGCGAGGTCCGAAAATTCGACCTTGTCCTGAGTGCGCATGTGAGAGGTGCAGTGCATGGTCTTGTTCACAGCGAAAGACTATGTTCTTTGTTCACAACTTCATTTAGCTGTCTCAGGAATTCACTCCCTTTTTCCCATTCCCACAGACACATCTGCGACTGTCTCCCAACCCAGCCTGGCATCACACTCCCAGAGGCTAGCGCAGATTAGGCGGAGGAAGAAGAAGACGCGTGAGGACATGTTCTCAGAACTAATGTCCTGCTCCCGAGCCCAGGCAGCCCAGCAGACACAGTGGAGGGAGAACTTGTCCGAAATGCACCGAGCAGTCATGGAACGGGAGGAGAGGTGGCGTCAGGAAGACCAGCAGGCGACTCAAACGCTGCTTGGACTAATGAGGGAGCAAACGGACACGCTCCGGCGCCTTGTGGATGTTCTGCAAGACCCGAGGCAGGAGGACAGAGCCCCGCTGCGGTCTATCTCTAACCGCCCTCCCCCGCCACCAAGTCCCACACCCCCCTCACCCAAAGTCCAAAGAAGGAGGGGCAGCAAGGGCCGTTAAAACTTTCAGTCAACCCCTGCAGACTGCTCTAGCAGTCTTGGGCTCTCATTCCCCAAAATTGGAAAAGTCCTTTCCTACCCACCTCACAGAAGCCCCCATGCAAGTTTCACCCCCCTCGTTTCATGTGTGGTTCATAATAAAATATTCGTTTCTGTTAATTACTGTTTCCATGATTTTCTTTTGGAGGAGAGTCTGTCTGAAGGGGGGGGAAGGGGCTTGGTAATTGGACAGGACAGTCACCTTTAGCAGGGTACAGAGGCGGGGGCAGGTCCAGCATCAGGACACATACACAGTGCAGTCACTAGTTGCCCTGGTCAGTCTGGGAGGTGGTTTTCATGTTCTGTGGGGGGGGGGTAGCTCTGTGACTTTGTGGCGGGGGAGGGCAGTTACAGATCTTATGCAGCGGTCCTTATCCTGGATCACAGAGCCACGCAGCAGGGGATCTGTAACCCTCCTCCCCCTGCCAGAAAGTCACATATCCGACACATACACGCAGTCCTGCCCAGGAGTGCTGGCAGGCTCCGTTGAAACAACCAGTCCACCACTGCGGAGCCTGTCATTCCGGGAGTTTAGAAGCATCATTTGCATCAGAACACAAAACCCGCCCCCCGCCACAGTCTGCATCCCCGGTTTAAAACATTCCCGCAAAAACAGTAATAAAGACAACGGTGTTCATTAACAAAACAGAACAGATTTTATTTTTTGGGAAGGGGGTGAAGGGGGTATGTAGCTGGAGAGGATAGTCAACAT